CGTATCGATCCAAAGTATCGATACTGACGCGAGTATCGAAAGTATTGATACTCAAACATAAAATATCGATACTAATATGTGTTTTATTTACCAGTGATTTTGTTGTGTCTGTCTCTGTGTGTGTGTGTGTGTGTGTGTGTGTCTGTCTCTCTCTGTGTGTGTGTGTGTGTGTGTGTGTCTCTGTGTGTGTCTCTGTCTCTCTCTCTCTGTGTGTGTGTGTGTGTGTGTGTGTCTCTGTGTCTCTCTCTCTGTGTGTGTGTGTGTGTGTGTGTGTCTCTCTGCGTGTGTCTGTCTCTCTCTGTGTGTGTGTGTGTGTCTGTCTCTCTCTCTGTGTGTGTGTGTGTGTGTGTGTGTGTGTTTCTGTCTGTCTGTTATTGTCTGTCTGTCATTGTGTCATTACTTACTGTGGTGCCGCTGCGGTACACCGGTAGATTGATGCTGCAGGTTGTTCTGTTCGTAGCACCGCTGTCCCGATCACCACAGCTGCTTCGAGTCCGACTCGTCTGTTTGTAACACACACACACACAACTTAGAATGGAAGAATTGGCTCCCTTTAAGTTCATAGCCATGCCCCATAGGAAGACGAATCAGAATGACATAAATAGATCAATTTTAATGAAAATTAATTGTTCTTCTAACCTGGTCCACAAGTTAGAAAATATGATGAAATATATAAACTATACACAGTTGTCTACATATGAAGCAAACCTATCCATCCTTCTATTTTGAAAACACTTAAAAAAAAATAAACAAATAAAACATCTAATCCAATATTACCTTTTTAGTTAAAATAGTCATATTAATTTATATGACTATTTTAACTATTTTAATTAAAAAAATCAGCATACTATCATCTCAAAAACATTGCAAGAATTAGAGGTTTTGTTTCCAGTCAAGACTTGGAGAAACTTGTTCATGCCTTTATCACCAGCAGGGTGGACTATTGTAATGGTCTCCTCACCGGCCTTCCCAAGAAGACCATTAGACAGCTGCAGCTCATCCAGAACGCTGCTGCCAGGATTCTGACTAGAACCAGAAAATCTGAGCATATTACACCAGTCCTCAGGTCCTTACACTGGCTTCCAGTTATATTTAGGATTGATTTTAAAGTACTTTTACTTGTTTATAAATCACTCAATGGCCTAGGACCTAAATATATAGCAGATATGCTCACTGAATATAAACCTAACAGACCACTCAGATCATTAGGATCGAGTCAGTTAGAAATACAGAGGGTTCACACAAAACAAGGGGAATGTGCTTTTAGTTATTATGCCACCCGCAGTTGGAATCAGCTTCCAGAAGAGATCAGATGTGCTAAAACATTAGTCACATTTAAATGCAGACTCAAAACTCATCTGTTTAGCTGTGCATTTATTGAATGAGCACTGTGCGATGTCCGAACTGATTTCACTATATTATATGTATAATCGTTTTCTTAAATTCATTTTAAACCTCTTAAATCAATTTTTTTTTTTTAATAATTTTCAAAGTTTTTAAATTCCTTGTTTTATTGTTGTGATTATTGTTTTTATTTTATTTTATGTAAAGCACTTTGAATTACCATTGTGTATGAAATGTGCTATACAAATCAACTTGCCTTGACTAATTTATTTGCATTTTAGTTCATTTTAATTTAACTTCCTTACATTCAAATTTGAATTGCAATTCTGCATTTCTACAAGTCTCATGTTTGATGCCAAAACTCTAATTCAGGAACTGAACTGGAATTTAAAAGGCATGCTCAGTTCAATTCTAAATGGCACACAGCTCTGTTTAATAGCTTTTACTTTTATGTAGTGGATACAGGTTCTAATTCACATGTACATTTCTGAAGATGGAAGGACTATAATCGCTCAAATACTGAGGTGCTAAAACATTCAGGGCTTTATAAGTAAAAAGCAAGATTTTATAATGTACACAATGTTTAATAGGTAGCCAGTGCAGTGTTGACAGAACCGGGCTAATATGGTCATACTTCCTGGTTCTAATAAGAACTCTAGCTGCTGCATTTTGGACCAGCAGGAGTTTGTTTATTAAGCGTGCAGAACAACCACCCAATAAAGCATTACAATAATCTAACCTTGAGGTCATAAACGCATGGATTAACATTTCTGCATTTGACATTGAGAGAATAGCTCGTAATTTAGATATATTTTTTTAGATGGAAAAATGCGGTTTTACAAATGCTAGAAACGTGCCTTTCTAAGGAAAGATTGCTATCAAATAGCACACCTAGGTTCCTAACTGATGACGAGGAATTGACAGAGCAGCCATCAAGTGTTTAGACAGTGTTGTAGGTTATTACATGCGGAGTTTTTAGGTTCTATAATTAACACCTCTGTTTTTCAGAATTTAGCAGTAAGAAATTACTCATCATCCAGTTTTTGTCAACTATGCATTCCGTTAGTTTTGCAAATTGGTATGCTTCGTTGAGCGGTGAAGAAATATAGAGCTGCATAACAGCATGAAGTGACAAGCAGTGAAAACTACCAACAATGAAAGCTAACACCGTGTTTCCTGATGATAACTCCCAAGGGTAACATGTAAAGCGTGAAAAGTAACGGTCCTAGTACTGAGGTACTCCATACTGGACTTGTGATCAATATGATACCTCTTCATTCACCGCTACGAATTGATGGTGGTCAGATAAGTACGATTTGAACCATGCTAATGCACTTCCATTGATGCCAACAAAGTTTTCTAGTCTATTCAAAAGAATGTTGTGGTCAATAGTGTCTAACGCAGCGCTAAGATCCAGTAGCACTAATAGAGAGATACAACCACGATCAGATGATAAGAGCAGGTCATTTGTAACTCTAATGAGAGCAGTCTCAGTACTATGATACGGTCTAAATCCTGACTGGAACTCCTCACAGATACCATTTTTCTCTAAGAAGGAATATAATTGTGAGGATACTACCTCTTCTAGGATCTTGGACAGAAAAGGGAGATTCGAGATCGGTCTGTAATTAACTAGATCTTTGGGGTCAAGTTGTGGAGAACGATACGAGGATGCTGAAATGAGCTTGATTCACCACCACTAATGTGTCGTTCATGCAGAACAAACCTCATTTTAATAAAAAACCTGATGAATAATGGCAATATTCAAAAGATAAACAATCATATTTCAGATTAATATCATGTCTATTTATCAGTTGTTTCTCACATAAAACTGAAGTTCAGCTTCAGATCGGCCACACAGCTGTTGTTTGAATTACAGTTCCTTTGAAAAGGCACCTAGTCGCAAACAAAAGAAAAACGTTTACTGAGCTTTTGAATGCCGCAGAAACTTCATACAGTAAAGCTGAAGAATCTTAGATACTTAAGAGTTGACTGACGTTGAATATCAGAGTAAAATCTGATATTTGTAGACTCACCTCGACATCCTCCTCCGTCCTGCTGTGAACATCAAGAACAGCCATAGAGTTTCCAGACAACATATCAGTTTGTGAGAAATTAATTCGTATCTTCAGAGGAGAGACTGTGTCTGCAACACAGCACTGAAACAAACACAACGTTCACCATCAGACTGAAGCTCTGAGATTGGCTGAAGCTGTGATAGACGACACGTACCAGCATGTAGATGGAGAAGCTGAAACAGAAGAACCCAGAATCCAGCAGGATGAACTTCTGCAGAGTCCTGGATGACACATTCCTCTGGTCAAAGAATCCTCGACTCATTTTTCGTATCACATCCACATTCAGATTCAGAGAAACATTCAGCTTCTTCTCCAGAGATCCTGAGAGGGTAAGACATGGAGGCTGTTTTCTTCATGTGACAGAGGGACTCTCTGAAACTTTATTTAAAGATTTATTTTTAGCATTTTATTACGATAGGACAGATCGGAACTGATAGGAAGCAAAGTGGGAGAGGGTGGATGCGATTAGGGAAAGGTCCTCGAGCTGGGATTCAAACTCGGGCCGCCCGTAGCACAACAGCGCTGTATGTCGGCACACTGCCCACAAGGTTATTGGCACCGACAGACACTCTGAAACTTTATTGACATTACCTGTGCTGCTGGTGCGCTCGTTCACTGTGAAACATGACGTGAGCTCAAGTGCGTTAAATGTGTTGTCACTCAGACATTCAAAGTAAAAATGAATGGAATTACATTCTAGCACATGCTTTTATAGCCTGATGCTCACAGATGAAATATGAAAACAGCACATTCTGCTTCACAAACACAATGACACTCAATACTGACTAGAAATGAATGAGGTCTTTGTAGACTTAGTTTGCTCCTTTTCTCTGTTGGATATGGCATTGCAGAGTCTATATTGTGAGTAGAATGCTTGTTTGTTTGTTTTTGGTGAAATACTGAATCTCATGACAGTGTTTGTGTTTGAAGGGTCTGCTGATCTTCTCAGTGGACTGTAGGTTTGGGAGCCCCTGGTCTCACCGGTGGAGAGAGATAATATTGTGTCTGAGGGTTTTTCACTGACTTGTTCTCCACTGATGTTGCTTGTCACTGTCCATGTGTTTTGGTTCTTGGTGAAGAGGGTCACCAGACCCCTGTGTTCGGCGCGCGGCGCCCCAGAGAACAGAAGAGAGACGCCGCGTCTCATTCCCAGCACAGTAGAGTAACCTGAACACCATCAGCATCATTAAAACACACACAAACTCTTCACATCACACAAGAACAAACACTCCAACATACCCATGTACGAGTCTTTATTTACAGCTGAACCGATGATCTCGGTCTCTCTGAATTCAGATCCTGATCCCGTCACTTCATACAGAGCTCCACGCCAGTCATTTGATCCGACCGAACCCACGATCACAGAGTCCTGCAACAAACACTGCAGTCTCAGCATTGCTTTATTAGACACAGTAATGGAGAGCGGTAAAAACGGCCCTGGTGATCAGCAGAGAAACAGCTGGCAGTGACATTGAATCTTTGAAAGATGTTCAGAGTTTCTGATGTTTAGCAGCAAATAAACCAGATCAGTGGTGCTCTGGTTTTACTTCAGGACCCAGGTTTTACATCAAGTGGCAACCCAGCATTGATCATTGGATTGTATCATAAACTAAATGTCCTTCATTAAACAATTAAATTCATTCATGTTACCATGAACTGTGTCTAAACATCAGCAGCATTTCATTAGATTTTGAGAGGGGAAGATTTTCAAATGACTTCAGAAGACTTGGAATATAATCACACAAACAACAAACTAATTTTATGGAATTACATGGATTTCTCTTACCTCCTGGTAGACGACACTGAATCCACTCTGTGATAGCTCTTTCTGTCTGTCTCTGCCGTGAGCTTCCTTTGAAACACAGAAGGAAAAAAAATTGTCAGTGGATTCTGCAGCATTTATATAATTTTCCTCATGTTTGCATTTTACCTTCAATGTTGTAGATCTTTTTTTGCAGGTTGTCAAGAAGTCCTTTGAGTCCACTGTAGTCTTGAATGTAGAAGGTGTTGTTGTGTTTTGGTTCTGATGCCAGCTGACTGAGTGTGGTTAAACTAACCTTTCCCACCTGAACAACAGTGTG